CCTAGATTGCTGGAAGTCTAAATGGAGTTAAGGGTGAAGTCTATCTGTAAGAGAAGCCCCTTAAGATACAAAGTAGAGTTCAATTAAGTGAGAATATAAGCTTAATCACTAGATTATGAGCAGCAAAATTATGATGATGACTTATGCATTTCAATTTGCATAAATTAAATAAATGGATAATTTCGCCACTTACATATTTTGGAATTATATTAGCCCTAATTGAATCAAGGATTCACAATACAAATTCATTGTTATTGCATGATGGAAACAAGCTGCTTCTGAATAGAACTCTCGTTTTTGAAATGTTTCATAGCAGTCTAACCATGGGCAAGTATTCCTCAAGATTATACCTTATTGGTAGGCTTTGTATGATTTCGAGCGCACATGAACTGGTTTAAAAAATATTATATACTATTAATGTATTAGTTTGCCCATGAGAGTGACTCACCTTGTATTTGTTTTCTGAGATCTTACAGATTCGATAAGTGCTGTGGCAAGTGCATAGACCGATTTGACGTTTCACCTCGTCTTGGATCACTACACCTTCTATATTGTCTCCAACGCCATCAGAAGATGGCCCACCTTCCTGGTTTGATGTGGGAGGTTTCAGGGCAGCTAAGCACTCACGGTAGTCTATATAACCATCCTGATTTGCATCGAACACACTGGCTACTAGTTGCATTTCCATGCGCGTTGTAGGAAATCTCGACTCTATAACAGCATCAACGAATTCATGTAAACTAAGCCGGCCATCCCGGTCGATGTCCTTTCGATGGAAAAGGTCAATCACACGAGCTTTCTTCGCAGTTAGCCAGGCTACATAACGTTGGCGCCAGGCCTCGTAGGTGAAGTTCTTTAATCGATCCATCTCGGCAAGATAATTAAGGCGATTATGAAGGCGGGCACGTCGTGACATTGACTGTAGCCAGAGGGCACGCCAGCGCATCTGCAGTCTGGCTACAATTGGACTCACAAAAACGGGCTCACCTAGGCTTGACCGAATCCCGGAAGGGACTTGAGAGGCAGGACGCTGCTGACCTCCAGATGCCCCCGAAGTTGTCAATGCCTGATTTACGCCACGTCTCGCCAAGCTATTCAGCATAGGACCCAAATTTGGGCATCCATTAGCCTCGGTATGAGCAAGAGATGCAGGTTGGGTATGGCGGGCATGGCGTAGGATAAGATCAAAGTGGGCCTGGCGTTGCATCATCTCAGCCTCAAGGGCTGTATGCTCGTTCATGAGCTGATTTACTTGAATTAAATCATTAACTAGCTCCAGTGGCACGACAATCTGTTGGCTAGCGGGCATTCGCGAGCCTGGACTTATTTTACCATTTGTTCTATCAGTTGGGTTTAAAATGGCAGTGTCACCTGGTTCTGGAATAGTAGCCTCAGTGCTGTCTTTGTCAATGACAGAAATGCTTAATCTGGGGGTCATATCATCTGCAGTAGCCATACCTTTATCTACAGAGATTTTCGCCTCAGAATTCTGTTCATCCTGTGTATCTATAGTAAGTTGCAGATCACTAGAAACACGGGCCTCGGCTAGGTTAAGCCAATTGGATAAGTCAACCAGAAGACGACGCCTTTCTGTCTGTTCTACAAGAGTAGTACGTAGTTTGGCGCCACGCTGGCTAGACCAAGAGAGAAGCTGAATAGTAAATAAAAAATAAGAAATCTATCAGTAAATTAAAAAATAGCTTGGGAAATAGACAAAAATATGATATAAATATGAATTGTAATATATACTTCGATAATAAATATGAAGGCCAGGTGTAACTTTTTGTTTGGTCGCAGTCTTCTTTTGATGACTCGTTAGCTTCAATTTGTTTGCAAAAATGATACCTTGCTCCGGTGACGTTCGTCAAATGACGGAAGGAAGCTTAGCACATTTTCTCCAGAATTGAAGAAGATTACCTCGTAAACAGCGTTAACATGAATGTTCCAGTAAAGCCAATCGACAATTGGTCAAGAGGAATCCGCCGTCATCATCTGGTGGAATCGACCTTCGAATCTCTTCACCAAGCACTTTCACTAGTATTCATTTGGCCTAGTTTCGCAGCTTAATCGGAACAACGGTGAGACCTTGTGGAACGTACCTAATCCTGCGCCCATTGCCATTGTACTCATGATTTCCAGCATCGAACCGTTGACCTGGTAGATTCCAAGATATTTCGTCAGCATTGTCAGAGGAGCCATCATTAGCACATAGTGGAAAGTGAAGAAAATCTACTTGACCAATTTCTGTTCAACCTTTGTGGCATCACCCCTCAACGATATTTTTTAATCCTAACCTATAGTGGAGCATCACTTTATCTCAACCCCAATTCATATGACCCATATACCTATTCACATTATTTTGTGGTATCGTTTCATCCGATGTCGCCTAGCGTCGTTTCAAATTGGTTTAGTAAAGCACAATCACCTTCACTACCGGTTTCAGATGACGTTTTCAGGGCTTCTGACTTTAATTTAGTCACCATCCACCCCCCTATCAGTTGTTATCTGCCACGCATGAAAACTATGTTCTTTCTGATTGTCTATGAGCTTCAATTCCGGCCCGCGTTTACATCATATTTGAGGATTTAAAAACGGATGATTCTCATGTCTATGCATCTTCTCTCTAGGCTTCAGACCCATAACCCAATTATCCTTTTTCCCACCCCTCCTCCATATTCTCGCTCATTCGCTGGGACCCTGTGACTGGCTTGATTCGGAACCATTGATCTAAAGATAATCCGCCTCTCTTATCCACTCCTGATCACTTAAAGTGCACTCCTTTTATCCCTCAAGTTGACAGTCCTGTCTAATACTAAGGTTCTAGTAAGTTGTACATATGTATGCTGGTTGGTAACCTCCCTAGTCAGACATGTCGCCAGCCGCTTCACACTATAGACATACAAGCGCACACACATTGGGAACCAAATAATATTTGGCTCCCCAACTCGGTTTCCACACCCTGATGAATTCGAAC